GAATCCGGCACCGAGCGGCACAGACCACGGCTGCGGGCTCCTGGCAAGCAGGAAGATGCAGCCGAGCTGTGCGATTGCTTTCCCTTTGTGAAGCTGCCCAAAAAGCCCCTCTGGAAGGAGTGGTAGGTGAGACACGAAGCCCAGGCACCTCCGTCCCCCTGCAGATCACCCATTCCTGGCCACCAACCTCACCTACCTGCCAGCACCTCCCGTCCTTGGCAGGGACGAGGAGCCAGCTCCAGCCGGCCGGGTGCAAGGACAGTATCTACGCCGGGAGCTGGGACAGAGCCAGCACCGAGGTCCTGCCTCTCACTTACCTGCAGCATGCCAGGGAAAGACTTTTTTTGGTGGAGGATCAGCTGGCTTTGCTAGGAAGGAGGCTATGGCATGGGCAGCATTGCCTGCCAGCCATGGAGGGGAATGGGTCAGGACACGAGGGGTGGCCAAAGGAGAAGGAGCGCTGTGGCAGGCCCTAGGGGTTGAGATGGCCACCATGAATCAAAGGATTAGAGTCGATCGACTCTGAGACGGCTGCGGCTGTACTCTAATGCCGGGTCAGACGATATTAGTGGCTGCATTTTAGCTGGGGGACTGTGACGGGCCGTAGGAGATAATGAAACTCCTGCTGTTTCAGCAGAGAAGAGGTTACAGCTTACAGAAGAAGAAGGGTTAGGCTCTACCTGTGACCGGAGAGCCACAGGATTCAGAAGCGAAAAGTCATGCGATGGCTGATAGAGACATCTTACCTGGCACGGAGGGCAGATCAGCAGCAGCATAAGAACAACCATTTTGATCCTAAATTGCAGGAGACTGCATTAAACCACCACAAAGGGCTTTGGAGGAGAAGGTTGGGTGGGTGGGATGATTCAGTGCCCTGGGAATTGGTGTTGAGTTCAGCAGCACCCCGGACATCCAGGAGTCGATGCTCAGGAGACCGGGGTCATCAGTGCCAGTTTCTGCCTTGCTTTAACACCTCTTCACCCTTGAGATTAAAGCAAGTGCAGCACGAGGAAGAGATACTACCAGTCTCCAGCTGTTGGGCACATTCCCAGTCCTTCAGGATCTGGAATACTGTCCTACTCAGGGACACAAGACATCCTGTTTTTTTCCCGGTATCTTAGGTTGAGTCCATTCCCCAAGGAGCATCCTTATCTCCTGTTCAGTGTCTGGTAAAGTGGCTCAGGCCATCTGCTAAGGTGCTCAAAGTACAGATAGCTAACTAGCCAAGCAGATGCACTCTTCAATGCCCCAACTCCACGAACTGGTTACTTCCTGACCATAGATGAGGTGAGGTCTACGCTACCCTGGCTGTTGATACAGCCCACCGCTCTGTTATTTGACCTGGAGACAAGTGCTGAGGACTCATTTGCCAACATCCCCTGTGGCTCCACACCCAAATGCCAAGAGACTAAATAAAGTTTATTCGGTGGATCTCTCATTCCAGGTGTAAAGCAATCATACCA